GTAGAAAGGGCCGCTGCCCTCTACACCTTTGGTCCTTGCTCTTTGGTTGCTATGATACTTCAGGGAGAACATGTAAAGTCACACAGGAAGGCACAGGATAGTACTGAACCAGGACTATGCCAGGACTAAGCCAGGACTAAGCCAGGACTAAGCCAGGACTAAAGCAGGACTGTACCAGGACTGAACCAGGATGGAACCAGGTCTAAACCATGGCTGAAATAGGTTTAAACCAGGACTAAACCACGACTAAACCAGGACTAAACCAAGAATAAACCAGGACTAAGCCAGGACTGAACCAGAATTAAACCAGAACTCAACCAGAATTAAACCATGAATACAGCTGACTGAACCAGGTCTAAACCAAGTCTAAACCAGGTCTAAACCAGTTCTAAATTACTTCTAAACCAGAACTAAACTAGGTCTAAACCAGGACTGAACCAGGATTAAACCAGATCTCACTGTATTTGGAGCTGATGTGGACTGGAACAATGACACTGCCGCGGTACTTAGACCATTTACAGTAGAAACAGGACACAGCATTTCTGCGTCTGTCCACCACAATGTCCCCCTCCAAGAGACGGGACGCTGTAAGGATACAACACAGTTAGTTCAAGTACTACAACTACTACTACTACTACTACTTCTAGTACTACTGCTGCTACTACTAATACTGCAAGTACTGCTTCAAGTACTACTACTACTCTTTCCTTTGAGACGCACCGATGGCTTTGTTAGCATTGACAATCATGTCTGTCACACTTTCTTCATCTCCGTCTGAAAAATAGAAAACATAAAACTATTACATATATAATATAATATAATATAAACATATATAATATAACATAAACTGTTTTTTTTTTTTTTTGAAAGAACATCAGCTTCGAATCATTTCCTTCCTGTCGGCATACCTGGGGGGTCGATTTCGGGCTTGACAGTAGCACCCCCCTGTGGAAAGAAAGAACAACATTGAGTCATTAGATCAGACCTGTTTTTCAATCTGGACTTTTCAGAGCTTTTAACCGTGTTATAATTGTCTAGTCTTATAGTTGTGTTGACTTTAGACTATAGTAGACTAAACCAGGACTGAACCAGGTCTAAACCAGGACTGAACCAGGACTAAACCAGACCAGGTCTAAGCCAGGACTGATCCAGGACTAAACCAGGTCTAAACCAGGACTGAACCAGGATTAAACAAGGGCCAGTAGCATGCGGCACTTTGTTATCTCCCACTGGGCAGTTTGGGTCAGTTTTCTAAAGGTGAAGTCAGTCATTCTTAGGGCTGAATTATTTGAGGAAAAATGTCTAAGTGTAATAGACACAAGCATAGTATGTCAGCCTTAAACGCGCAGGTAGGCCTGATTTCTGTAAGTTACACAAACATCTGTCCTGAGCTCAAATAGATACTTCACATTTTGAACATTTCTCAGTCAAAACATTTCAAACCTTGGGACCGAAAGTAACACCAGTTTGGGGAGTCATCACTGAGCTTTCACAAGAAACAAAATGTACTCAAGTATTTCCCTCCTCCTCTCTTCCCTCTTTTCCACTCCTCTTTATTATCCCCCTAATTCTCCTTCTCTCTCCTCCTTCTCTCTTCCCCTCTTTTCTCCTCTTCCTCTCCTCCCTCTCATTCCTTAATTCCTCTTTATCATCCCCCTCTTCTCCTCCCCTTCTCTCCACCTCCTCTCCTCTTCTCTCCTCCTCTTCTCTTCCTCTTCTCCTTCACTGGTATAGTTTTTTAGTTCTTTTGCAGATTTTAACTCAATTTTGAGTTTTAAACACAATGTTTCCGACTCAATTTTGTGCCCGTTTCCTGTGTCCTCTCTATGTGTAACCTGAGGCTAACAGAATGGCCATTTGGATGGATGAAATGTTTGAAAATCCAAAACACACCAGAGTATTGTCAAAAGTATGGAAATTCAGATACTAAAACTAGTATTGAAACTACATAAGATAACAGTACTAAAAAGTCCAATTCATGATCTTGAGCATGATTCAGGTAGACAAGTATACGCCCATGGACCACTATGAACATACCTGGACAACTGAGGGATTACACAGATATAAGGCCACATGGTAACATAAAAGGATGTACTACCATTTAATGTTGAAAATCACATTTTGTTGTCTAAGGAAAGAGAACATTTTTATTAGACTCGATACTCAGTACCGATTCTGATACCACGATGACAGTAAAAAATACTCTTTAGACAACAGAATGCGATTTACAACATTAAATGGTAGTACTATCTTCTATATTATATCATGTTGCCTTTTATCTGTGTAATCCCTTAGTCACCCAGGTAGGTTCCATAGACTGTATAAAGAAGTGGACTAAGCAAGTGTGACATCACTCATAGCATTCGGCTCCAGTCAAATGAAGCTCATGATTGTAGCAGTTATAGGGGCGAATTTGGAGCCAAGGGGATAGACATTAATTTGATGTACAAAATAGCTAAATAAAACACCAATCATGTAGAGCAGTTTAATACAAAGTTTTTAGACCAAAATGACGAGGCTTAACAGTACGACCATTTTCACATTTCTTTTGCCAAATTAACAAAATTCTTGAAAAAAATAAAAATAAAAATCAGAGCTAATACTTGAAATCGATTATAAAGTGTTTTCTGTTTTTGTTGTCTCTTACCGTGAGTGACATCATTAGTGACATCATCAGCGAGGCCAGGGCGAGAAGGTGGAGCTTCATGTCGACACTGTGTTTGTTTTCCAAGTGACAACTCTGAGTCAAGCTCTGACACCTATGCATTATATATGGAGTCAGGGCGGAGTCAGGGGGCGTGTGTGCAGGAGGGTGGGAGATATATATATATATATATATATATATATATATATATATATATATATATATATATATATATATATATATATATATAAAAATTGTATAAATAAAGACAGATTACACTTCAATCATGAGTTTAATTTGCTTTAATACTTATAAATACCAAAAAGTTCATCATAAAGCCTGAGAGTGTTGTTTACTAAGAAAAACTTAGGAAACCTTGAAACATGATGCTAAATACCGATTCTGATACTACGATGATAATAATAATAAAAAAAACTTTTTAGAATGTCTGTGTAATCCCTCAGTCTCATGGGCATATGCTAGTCTATGTGGTTTTATACTTGTTGTGATACAATATCTTTCTAAAGCTACTCAGGAAAAGTTCATTTTTTGTCCTGTGAATGGGACTTTTGTAGTATTGATACCTGCTCAAATGAGTATTGATTAGTTGCTGATTTTCAATACTTTTGACAACCCTACTATGGATTACAAAAACAATTCCATACAATTTATATTTTTTTGCATTCTGGTTCAAATAATTTCATATTTGAACACTAAATCATTGTCCATAGAGTTCTTTTGTCTCAGATAAGATCAGGTTTAGACAAAAAGAACCACAGATCCTTCACAACAGTGTTTATTTAAGTTTTATGAGTGAAGATTACATATAGGCTAATCATGCCAACCTGTTTAAGATCTGGCTGCATTTCTGTGGCTTCTATAAGAACATTTTGCTCTGGTGTTTGAGGTATCACAACTAATGACAATTGATCAATGCCTGAAAACACATACTGAACTTGCACTACTACTACGTGAAGGCTGCTGGAAAAGTTGTGTTTCTTTTTCATTCAGTTTTCATTCATTCATTTTCATTCACTTCCTCAAACAACATATTTACAAAGAAATACACCACCGTTTCCTGCTCCAAATAGGACATTTTATTGTAAATCCATAGACTCCTGTCCTCATTGTGTTCTTAGCGTGTTCTTAGCGTGTTCTGTTTGACCTGTTGGGTGAGAAAAACCCAGTTTCAGCATTCCAGACATGTTGGTGTCTCGTTCGCCTGTCACTCACACATCACCTGTTGCTCCTCTGGTTTCCAAACAGCCTGAAAACAAAAGCATTAATACATAAAAGTAAAGAGTGTTCACAACATGAAGAGATGTCAGGAGGTCAGACATCACAGGAGCAAGGACATTTGGGTCGTTCTCATCACAAAAGACTTTAAAACCTCATTTTGGTGTTTCTGCTTAAACTTGAATGAAATACACAGAAAAGTGGACTGGTTTAGTCCTAGTTTAGTCCTCATTCAGTCCTAGTTTAGTCTTGGTTCAGTTCTGGTTTGGTCCTGGTTAGTCCTGATTTACTCCTGGTTTAGTCCCCTGGACCCCTCTCCCTACTCTTGCAATAAATTCCCATAGTTGATAAAAACATACAAAGTGTTACGTTTACTGTATATTAGAATAACAAATTCCAAAACTATAAATGGTATTATAAACTATAAATATGTTGCAAAAATACCAAGCGACTGGTGTGAATAAGGCATAATTATATAAACATATATGTACAAGTAAAAAAAATAAATAAATGAAATTTTGTAATATAAATATATCAGCGTAAGTGATCATATGGAGAAAAACAATGCAAAGATGAAATAATGATTGACAGGACATAAAGTTATGTATTACATTAAGTTGAGTTGTTGTTCAGTTGTAGGGGGTATTATCTGTTACATAAAGGAGAGTTGTACAGTTGTCTGCAGTGTGGTATGAATGTAGCCCTGTAAAGTCACTGTTTGAGTGGAGCTGTAGGAGCCTGTTAGAGAAGCTCCTCTGTCCCTCTATAGTCTGGTGCAGTGGGTGATTAAGAGTGATAAACCCTTAGTCTTGCTCCGATGTGAATGTGGTCCAGTGTGAATGTCACAGAAATGTAATATGAGCCTTTTAAATATTCCAGGTCATATAAAACAGAGAATCAACATTCAAATCAGAATTAAAATAGGCACGATGTTTTTTGATTGGTGAACTTTAAATTAAATATACTGGAAATAGAGGTCGAAATCTGTTTTTTTTTCCATTTTATTGTTTTTCGTTCTTAATTGAAATTCAAAAGAACAAATGGCATAAGGACCATGCAGAATGTTGTGACGTCATTATTATGTTGAATCCATATATCTGCTTCCTGTGTGTCTCTGTAGCGCCCCCGGGGGCCGTGTGGGGGAGTACCGTTACGCTCAGGATCGCCTCTCTCACTTCGGTTTGAGCGACTCCGCAGCACCACCTCCATTTTGGCGTCTTTACGAGTGGCAGCAGCGGCATCAATATCGCCATGGCAACCCCACGGCACCGCTCTACAGCCCTGCTCCCCTGCATCCCTACGGCTCTCGCCCCTTGGCCGCAACCGACCAATCACGAGCCCCTACACCACGCTGCATCGATGTCCCGCCCTCCACTGCAGATGTCCCGCCCTCTCTGCCCTCTGGACCAATTGGACGCAGACCCCACACACCGGCTGAAAGACTGACAGTGAGGCCGACCAATGAGAGAGCAGCAGAGGGAGGGGCCTTCACAGCAGCGCCACGAAGGAGCCAATCACAGTTCTTCAAGGTAAAAACCTAGTCCTGCTTCAGTCTAGCTTTAGTCCTGCCTTAGGCACGGTTCTGTGCCGCTTAAGTCCTGGTTTAGTCCTTGTTTAGTTCTTGTTCAGTCCTGGTTCAGTCCTGGTTTAGTCCTGGTTTAGTCCTAGTGCAGTACTGATTTAGACCTAGTTTAGACTTAGTTTAGTTCTGATTCAGTCCTGCTTCAATCCTGGTTCAGACCTGGTTTAGTCCTGGTTTAATTTTGGTTCAGTCCTCATTCAGTCCTGGTTGTTTGTTTGTTTGTTTCAGGCATCAACTCTGGAGCGCAGGTCTATGCCGGTCTCTGGGTACATGACTCACACTGTATCTGCTCCCAGTCTTCATGGAAAAACTGTGAGTCATATGCCCTCCCTGTGTCTCCATGGGGTCTTATTGTGTGTAAAAGCTGTTAACCCTGTAGTTCAGACCTCTACCCGCATGTTCTGAAATGCCTGGGATTCTTGGATTACTTTAAAGTTCTGATTTCTCTCACTTCACTTTCTTCTTTAATTGTGATAAAAAAAAAAAAAATGTAATTAGATTTTTTTCCCCCACTGATCTCTGGTTTCTCTGTGTCTGGGTTTCTAAAACATGCACAATAGGTCAAATCCTCTGACCAGATTTAACCCAGAGACACTGAAGGATGGGTCAAATACAGAGGACACATTTCCTACAGGGACAAAAATCTATCCACATTTATCCATCTATCCTATACTACCACACTGGTAGTCTTTGCAGAAATAGTAGTATTAGTAGTATTCATAGTACTGTGATTGTATTTCTGCCTGAGGAGCTGGCTCTGTTCCTGATGAAGTTGCAGTAGTAGTAGTAGTAGTAGTAGTAGTAGTAGTAGTAGTAGTAGTAGTAGTAGTAGTAGTAGTAGTAGTATTTGCAGTAATATCCATAGTAGTCCTGTGTTGTATATTTCAGCCGAGGAGTTGTAGTAGTGTTTGCTGTAGTAGTAGTAGTAGTAGTAGTAGTACTTTTAGTAGTAATTGTAGGATTCGTAGTACTGTGATTGTGTTTCAGCTCGAGGAGCTGACTGCTTCTGATCCATTTGTAGTATTATTTGCTGTAATAGTATTTGCAGTAGTATTTGTAGCGTATGTTGTTGTAATATTTATTGTAGTATTTATAGTAGTATTCATAGTATTCATAGTACTGTGTTGTGTATTTCAGCTGGAGGAGCTGACTCTGCTCCTGATCCAACTGTAGTAGTATTTGTACAATATCTAGTTGTAGTATTTATAGTACTATTCGTAGTATTCGTAGTACTGTGTTGTGTATTTCAGCCGGAGGAGCTGACTCTGCTCCTGATCCAGTTGCGCAGACACCAGTCCAAGATGGCCGCCCTCAGACGAGACATGCACTTCCTGTCCAATAAGTCACACTTCCTGCCCACTAGCCCTGCCCACAGGGTGAGCCCGGGCTCATGCGGTGCTCAGGTGGAAACCCTGCGGTGCTGTGTATTTAGTCTGTGACTGTACAAAGCATGCTCAGACATTTATGTTTCACACGTCTACAGGCTTCGTACATATATATGTGTATACTACAGTCAGAGGGAGTCACAGGTATGGAGATAGAATTGTCTCAAAAAGATTTATACAAATAAAAAATGATCTATAATAAATATACATACATTTATATATACATATATACAAATACAAAATACAAATATAAAAATGTGACATTCAAATAAACAAATGTGTATACATAAACGGGCATTTGTAAATATACTTCCGAGATTTAAAAATAAATATGACTTTGTATGTGGAGTCTGCATTTGTGGATTCCTATTTTTGCTTTTCTCTTATAATCTTAATTTTGAGACATTCTTCATCCTTGATCCATAAATAAATACCACAGAATTTGAGTTTGTATTTTGTGTTTGGATATTTATAAATGTATGTATATTAATATATGCCATTTTTTATTTGTATAAGTCTTTCTGAGACAATTCTATCTCCATACACAGGCTACACTGCCGATCACACCTAGGGTTAAAGAACAGGATTAAAGCCCCACTGCGGGATGTTATATCACATTACAGAAAGGACAGTATAATGTGGGAAATTGAAGACTTCATATCCCCGAATTCCCCTGTGCTTCTCTCTGACTGTACAAAGCATGCTCAGACCCTTGTTATGTGACCCAAGAGGCCCATGTGTCTCACCTGGAGTCACATGGTTCACCTGTCATGTGACCTTACCGCCTGTCTGAGGCTGTGGAGCTTTTTTGGTCCCTGTTTAGTCTGTACCTCAGGCTACTCTGGTGTGACTTTGGCTTTGGTCTGGTCTGGCTTTGGTCTGCTTTGCTCTCAATCACGCTCATTCAGTCAGTCATGCAAGTCATAAAACTGTGTTGCCCAAGAGCACGATGACATTATACATGTTGATAGGAAAAGAACTACATTTTCATTCAAACTGTGAAAGAAACAAATCATGATCTGTGTGTGTGCTCTGTGGATCTACTCCCTCTCTCCCTCTCCTCTTCTCCCCCTCTCAACTGTCTCCCTCCTTCCTCCTTTCTCTCCCTCTCTCTCTTTCTTTCTCTTTCTCACCTGTCTCTCCCCTCTCTGCCTCCTTGTCTAACTCTCTCTATATATCTCTGTCTCTCACTCTTACCCCCCCCTCTTATCCATCTCACCCCCTTCTCTTTCTCTCTCCCCTCCCTCCTCTCTCTCTCTCTCTGTCTGTCTCTCTCTCTTTCTATCTCTCGCTCTCTCTGTTGAAGTGGATAGCCTGTCTCTCCTTTTTCTTTCTCCCCTTTCCCTACAGTCTCTCTCCCCTCCTCCTCTTGCCCTATCTCTTTGCTTTTGTCACCTGTGCAACCTCTCTCTCCCCTCCCTCCTTCTTCCCTCTCCCCCTCCTTTCACCTGTCTCCCCTCCCCCTCTCTCTCTCTCTCTCTCTCTCTCTCTCTCTCCCCTCCTTTTCTCACCTGTCTCTCTCTTTTTCCTCTTCTCATGTCCCTTTCTTTATCCCTGTGCAGGTGGATGATTCATTTCTGCAGTTGAAGAAGGACCTAGAGTACCTGGATCTGAAGGTAGGACATCAGGTGCTTCTCATGGGGTGTTCTCTCAGTTTTACTAACTCTGAGTGTGTGAGTCTCTGTGTGTGTGTGTGTGTTTGTCATAATATACTTTTATGATTAGAAGAGACATCTGGATGTCTCTCTCTCTCTTCTTTTTAACCTGTTTCTAACCTGTGTGTTACACCCTCTCTGTGGATGTGCCCCTTCCTCTCTCTCTCTCCCTCTCCCTCTTGGGCATCTCTTTCCTCTCTCTCCTTCTGTGTGCATGTCCCTCTCTCCTCTCTTTCTCCTCTTTCTCTCCAAACTCTCTCTCCATTCACTCTCTCTTATTCTGTGTGCATGTCTTTCCTCTCTTTCCTCTCTCTTCCCTCTCCCTTCCCTCTTTTTACTCGCTCCTCTCCCTCTCTCCGTCTGTGTGCACATCTTCCGTCTCTCTCTGCATGTGTCAGATGCGTTCTCTGGAGCCTCTGATTTCTGCAGTCCACAGTCTGTTACTGCACTGCACTGCTGGGCCCCCCAGAGACCCCTCCAGAGATCCCCACAGGGACCCCCAAAGGGATCCCTCCAGGGTCCCCCTGAGGGCCCTGACACAAGTAAGAACCATGTAAAAGACTGTAGAAATAGCACTGCTGCGTCTCCTCTACATCAGACAGTCCAAAAGAAAAAAAAACTAAAATAAAACAGGACTCGGGCAGGTCTACATCTGGACTAAATCAGGACTAAACCAGGACTAAAACAGACTAAACTAGAACTTAGCCAGGACTAAATCAGGTCTAAACCAGGTCTAAACCAGTACTGAACCAGATCTAAACCAGGACAGAACCAGGTCTAAACCAGACCCAGCAGTGCTGTATTAAAGTAAGGTCCATAGACTAGAACCATCAACCATCGCTTCCTGTGACCCCAAAGTGACCCCAGTGTGGTGTTGAGGCTGCATTCTGTCTCCATAGCAACACCTGCTCAGTGTCTCCATGGTAACAGTGGGCTCTGGATGGGCCAGCAGTGCATGTGTCAGATGCCCTCCCATCCTCCTATGTCCCTGTATCAGATGCCCTCCCATCTTGTGCTCTCATTGGCTGTTCTGTCATTAGAAATAGTCTCAGTCAATGTATTTGTAAAATTAGTTAATTTTTAAAAATATATGATTTTATGTACTGTGTGCTGTTTTTCAGATGGGCGGGAAGTCAGTGAAGGAGCTCAAACCGCTCAGAGTGGCAGAAAGCGACATTGATGTGAGTCTAAACCTGGACCAAACCAGGACCAAACCAGGGCCAAACCAGCACTAAATCAGCACTAAATCAGGACTAAAACAGGTCTTTTTGTTGTAGGTGAAGTTGAGTCGTTTGTGTGAACAGGACAAAACTCTGAAGGATTTGGAGGCCAGGATCAGTGCTCTGCATCAGGACAAGGTACTCTGTCTCCTCTCCTTTGTCTCTCGCTTTTTATCTCCTCCCCTGTGTCTCTCTCTTTTTCCCTCCCCCCTTCATTATTTTATTTATTTTCTATCTTCTATTTTCATCATCAGTTAGAGGTTGTCTTGGTTCTCTCTCATCCCCCTCTTCCTCTCCTTTCTCCCCCTCTTTTCATCCCTCTCTCCTCTGTTTCCTCAGGATCAGTTAGAGGCTGTATTAGCGTTCTCTCACCAGCAGATGGAACAGTTCTCAGACACTGCATCTCGTCAAAAGATCTCGCTCCAACAGAAAGTCCTTCAAGAGGATCTAGTTCAAGTCCGGGCACAGATCTCCAGGGCCTACACGGTAAGACCAGGATCATAACCAGATCCAGTAACAGACTGGAGCACCTGTACATTTAGAGGTGTCCTGGTAATAATAATGAGCCTTATTGATCCTTTGCAGCTATTATCATCAACAATTCCTGGGGGTGTTATGCTAACTTAGGCACTGGCCTGTCTGAAACTCTGTTACGCAAGCTAGACTTTAGACTGATCTTTGTTTTAACACAATCTGTGAACTGATTTGTGCTGTAATACAGGTCCTTCTAAAATAACATTACAGTAACAAGCTAGCTCACATTACCCAACAGTTTTTCAGTTTTTTTGTTGAAAGTCCAACACTTAAAGAGGACCATGAACGCTTGTATTGATCAGACTCTTAATGATTATCTCTGTGTTCAGGACATGTCTCGTTCTCTGGAGGAGTTTGTTCTACTGGAGAAATCAGTGGAACAACTAAGATCTGCTCTACAGACCCAACTCAGCTCCTCCTCACAGGTCAGACCAGGACTAATCCAGGACTATAACAGGTCTATAACAGGACTGAACCAGGACTGAACCAGGACTAAAACAATACTATAATAGAACTAAACCAGGACTAAATCAGGACTGAACAAGACTGAATCTGGACTAGGACTGAACCTGGATTATATATTTTATGTTTCAGGCAGAGAGGGCAGAGCTGAAGAGGGAGCTGTGGAGAGTGGAAGACGTTCTGGCCGGACTCAGCCGCCCCGAGCAGCACACAGGTTTAATATGAAATACACTTTATATCGTTGGAAATATAAGTAAGATTTAGGTTTAATTTCCATAAACAGTATCCCCAGATATGAGGTAAACATTTTCAAATCAAATACAGCTTTTATTAATGCTGATTTATTCTTAATTGCAAGAACAAAACATTGGGCATGATGTCCCATTTATTTAGTGTTACGGTTGTCAAGACAACTATCCAATCAGAAAGCAGAATGAGCTTCACGTGAGTCTCTTATTTGGGATGCCAGTTTCAATGCTTCAATTCAGTTGTTTTAAATTCTTTTCTGGATGTTCTGAGCTTTCATATGAGGCATGACATGTCCATGTACTGAGATTACTGAAAAACTTGGGATGTGTCCTCTGTCTGCAAGTTAAAGCACCCAGGTTAGGTTGAAGATTGTAGAACCATTTTTAAAAGTGCAGGCTACATACAGTTAATTTAAATTAACATTAGAAAATGAAAAAGATCTCCATGTTTTCCTGTCTTCTGATTGGTTGACAGAGAGGAAGTTAGTGCCTTCAGTTCAAGAGTCAGTGCCTTCAACCAATTTGCTTCAGACCGTGCCAAACTGGGTAAGTCACCCTAAAAACTGGTTTAGTCCTGGTTTAGTCCCTGTTTAGTCCTGGTTTACTCCTAGTTTACACCTGGTTGAGTCCTGGTTTAGTCCGGATTAAGTCCTGCTTCAGGTCTGGTTCAGTTCTGGTTTAGTCCTGATTTAGTCCTGTGTTAAATCCTTAGAAGACCAGACCCCCCCAAAAACCAGCTTAGATCCTTAGACCCTGTACAGACCCCCGAAAATTAGTTTTGATCCTTAGACTTTGTTCAGACCCCTATAGTCCAGTTGAGATCAGTCTAAACCCAGTTTCTGTGCAGTCCAATGCCCCACCACCTCCGCGCCCGCCACTTCCATGTGGTTTTTATGATGAAGACGACGCCCGCCCTGAAGTCCCGCCCCTCCCCCGGGAGGCCGCTGTGATTCGTCACACATCAGTGCGAGGCCTGAAGCGCCAATCAGATGAGAGGAGGCGAGACCGGGACGGTGGAGACTGGAAGGTGAGCTCTGGTCCTGGTGTAGCCCTAGTTTAGGCATTGTTTAGTCCTGGTTTAGTCCCAGTTTAGTTGTTCCTGGTTCTGACCCAGTTCTTCTCAGTTCCAGTCTGATCTTCGGTCGTTCCTCAGTGAACCAGAGTTACCTTTGGAACCTGAAAGAACCTCAGGTCAGAGTCTAAATATTAAAGCTGCACTATGTCACTTTTCTGTTGGTCTCCATGGAGATGTAACTCTCTCTCTCTCTCTCAGGTCTGGGCGGGTCTTCGTCTGGACTAAACCAGAGCTCGGTCTCAGCCTTCGTCACTCTGCGGAGAGGAGACAATCACAAGGTTAGATCTAGGACTAAACCATAACTAAAACCAGGACTGAACCAGAGCTAAACCATGACTAAATATAATGTTATTGTCCTTTTCTCTCTTGCAGGAGCGTCCCAAGAGCGCCTTAGAATGCACTGCTTCCTCCCCAGCGCTGGACACAGATTGGGCGGCAGCAGTCCAATCACGCGGCAGGATGAGCGCACACGAGCAGGCGCAGCGCCTCCAGCAAAGGACACTAGGGCGGGACAGACAGAAGAGTGTCGGCCAATCAGAGCGCAGCTCCACCACACCACGCTCTGAGGTCTGTGCCACTCCCCCCATGCGAGCACAAGCCCCACCACCCACGCCCAAACGCAGCAGCAGCCGAAATCGCTCCCGAGAGATACGGCGAGAAATCAATCGCCAGCAGTGGGCGGAGACTGATATCGACTAATGACCATAAACATGACAATAATGGACTTACTTTAAATGCTTTAAACACTGACCATAAACCAGAGAGACTCTGCCAGCTTATAGAGTTATCATTGACACTTTGCATTGATATCATGCTGGGGGTGTTCTACATGTATCTCTATGGTGGAATGTTTAGCTGCTAACATGGAGACACAATGCACACATTAACACTGCCAAAAATAGGTCAACTCAATAAAAAATCCGAAATGGATTAAAAGAGCACATTTTCAGGAGTCTGTGATCAATTAGAGTGTTCATGGTCCTGTTTATGTGTTTGATTTTCAACTTAAAGTTGAGTGACTAACTTTTGGCTAATGCTAGCTAGCTTATGACTGTAATGTTATTTGAGAGGGACTTGTTTAACAGCATAAATCAGCTCATCTGTTGTAGTTCCATCTAAGTCAGTTCTTTCTGATCAAACTGTTAAAACAGAGCTTCAGACAGAGCAGTGCCTACAGTTAGCATCACACCCCCAGAAAATCTTAGTGACATGAGCTGCAAAGTGTCAATAATCACAGCAGAACATAGTGGGCGGAAACTGAGATAGACTCACATGAAACTGTAAATCATTTAAAACTTTAAAGACTTTTAAACCAAACATAAACAAGGACCAAAGTGAAACTTAAACCGGTTCAGATTAAACTGGACCAGGGTCAGTTCTCAGAAAGACCACGGCTGTGTCTGAATGTCCCCCCGGCCGCTGGACACTACTTTTCAAAGTGCATTGTGGGAAATTTTGAGAGCTCTACTTTTTCACCATCTCGACATTCAGACGCCAATAAAAATGTGTGATCACTAAATGTGCACCAAGTTTGGAAATAGTGTGGACTTTTGGACACAGCCCATGTCTCTGATCACATGTTTATGGTCCCGTTTCTCCTTTAGTCTGGATTTAATGATAACAATATAACTTTACCTAAACCAAACGGCTCTAAACAAACGGAGCAGAGATGAAGGGAGATGGGACAAATGTTGCAGATACTGAAAAAAAAAAAAAAAAAAAGGGAATATGGAATTATGAGAAATTAAGTGAATATGGAGCTAAAACACTGCCCCCTTCGGGGACCCTCTGACACTGCAGAATGTAAAACTCGTGCCATCATTTAAAGTGCGTATGACAGGTTTTGACAGTGCTCTAATTTCTACTTTATTAGGTGCAATAATACCTGTTTTTTAAATCAATTTTAAATAAATGTTTGTTTTATCCCAATGAAAAAGCGATTTGTGAAGAAAAGTTGAGAAATCTGTTGAAAATCACAGGAAGTGGAGAATTCTATTTTAGAGAGTTTTTTAGGCCAAAAATGCAGTACAGTTTACACAAGAAACCCATTTTTCTGACTCTAAACATTATTTAAAAAACAAAAAGGTTTCCAAATCCAAATGATTGCTACATTAGAGTTTTGGCCAAGTGTACAACATGGTTGCTCACAGTTGTAGAATTCCCAAGTGTGATATCATGATTTCTAATCAATGTACTCAAAAATGTGAAACTGGGGAATAAAAAAAAAAAGTATTGTTAGTAAAATCTTAAATCTAATCATCTTAACTGTGTTAGAAACAAATGAGTGGTCCAACCTGTCATAAGCTCTTCACATCTTAAAGTGGCACTAAACACCTGAATTCTGCCCACAGCCACAGTGAGTAGATTTAGTGTTTAGTTACACTTTAAAATATTCTTATTATTTGTAGATGTGAAGCTTTGGGACTTTAGTTTTGCTTTAAATCATCCAGAAAGTGCCTTTGAAATCGGTTTATGCCTTTTCCACCTGAGTTCAGAAGAAATCATCAAACGGTCTTGGACAATGAAGAAAAAATGACAGAATTGTGATTGTAAAAGTTCAGACGTCACCAAATCAAACAGATGGATTTTTATATAGAAAAATCAATATGTTATTTAAAACATTAAAATAGTAATATTACTTTTACAGGGATTTACTGCAGTGCCTCTAAAAATGATGTCTTTATTATTCTGTATTATTTTCACAGATGAATTACGTTAAAAAGTCCTCAGTCGAACAGTTTTGTTTTCACAATAAATTAGCTATAAAACCGAACTTTATGTATCATATAGGTTTGAAATAAATTATATATCAGGGACTAGATCAACACTAAACCAGGATTAGACCAAGACTGAACCAGGACTAAACCAAGACTAGACCATTAAATCATGACCAGGACTGAACCAAGACTCGACCAGGTCTAGACCACTAAACCATGGATTAACTAGAACTCAACTAGGACTAAATCAGGATTGAACCAGGACTAAACCAGGACTAGACCACTAACCCATGACCAGGATTAAATCAAGACTAAACCAGGATTAAATCCAGCACTGACTTTTTTACAGTAAATATTTTGTATATATTTTTTAATATATTTAATGGTATAAAATTATTTACGATACTAATAGTCTTAAGTAAAAATCTAGATTTTTAGAGAGAGATTTTTTTGGCAGATTTGGTGAAGTCTGAACTGCTTTAAACTCTGGTGTTAGCTTGCTGCTAACGTTGCCTTTGTTTTTTATGGAAGATGCTAACAGTGCTAATCTGCATGTGTTTGAATGGACTAACCTGTGTGCGATGGACCTCAGAACTACAGCTCCCATGATGCTTTGAGAGCTCAGCCTGCACTTTCCATGATGCACCAGGCCTGTGTAGACTCTGTATCCCAGAATGGAAACAGCAATAGTTAAATGAAATAACTGTGTTTACATCATAGACTTCTGTATAAATGAGGAGACTCACTGTGGTGTTCAGATGCAATAGAAACATAGAGACGCTCGGAGGAAAAACAGGAGCAGTCATATTGTACTTGTGTCTGCTGTATAGTTATAATCTATGAGACTCATTATGTCATCATTTGGACGTTTTAAACATTTACATCACAGAGGTTTTTTTTTTGTGTGTGTAGGTGTGTAGGTCACAGTTGGGCGTGTACCATAGACAGTGAAAATGGGGTTTGTAATCAGAGCAATGATGTCTTGAATACAGGTGAATAAAGATTACTTAAACATTAATAGTTACTCTAAATTCAGAGAGTCAATGAGAAGGAACAAGTATAACATACATTAAAGAGGGGATGTTTTACTTCTATGAGGTAACTGCTAACACATAAAATATTGACATCACCATATTACCTTTTATTATGCTATATTTGCCAAAAAACAAGTAGAGAGATAAACAAAACACCCCCTATTTAAATTCTTCAAATTTCACTCCTAAAAGAATTCTTCAGTCAGACTGAAAATGTCTTGTGCCTTCACAGTTTTTTTTTATGTCTGTTCCTGTTTTTCTCCAAATCCGAATGTTCCGCCTCAAATCCACAGAAACAGTTCACATTTGAATGATTTGATTTGATGATTCTTAGATTTGCACTTAATAAATGGCTGTGGCTTTACGCTCTGGCTCTGCTCTTCTGTCTAACCTCAAAATGCAGGAACTTATCTGAGGAATGTGAATAATGTGAAGTTTAAAATTGTAATGTTTGTGAAATTATTTGGACTAATTTACCTCTTGGTTTAGTGTGGGGTCTTGCATGAACCTCTTCCTCTCTCTCTCCTCTCTTTCTCTCTCATCCTCTCTTTCACCCGTATTCTTCCCACCACTCTCCTCCTTCCTCTCTCACCCCTCTCTCTCCATCTCTCCATCTCTCATTCTCCCCTCTCTTTCTTACTATCCCTCTTCATCTCTCTCTCTCCTTCTTTCTATCCCTCTTCATCTCTCTCTCTCTCTCTCTTTCTGTGTAAATGTTTGTTCTTCACTGGTGGATCCTGTCTGGAGTTTTGGACGTGACCAGGAGATGGCGCTCTGCTGCATGGCTCTGATTTAACCAAGTAACACACCACACACACGAAGTACAAATACTACTACTACTACTACTGCTACTAAGTTGCTGCTGCTGTCACTGCTGCTACTGGCATTAAAATGTTAATTACTGAATTCTGATAGACCGATATATTGGCCAAAATATCAGGCCGATCTTTGCACTTTCTAGTGTATCAGCTATCAACATTAAATCTCCACCACAAATCAATATTTAGTTTGGCCCAACCAGCTGCCTAAATAATACACATAAAGATTTATTTTAAAACTGCACAAAATGTGAGTACTCAGCGTTCTCTCTTTGTGGTGTAAAAGAGTTTGTAATCAGTTTAAATTACAGAATTTGTGAAGATTAATCAAAGTCAGAACAAAAATATTGGCAGAGCTTATCAGCCATTGGCTGCTCTGGATACTAAACATCAGTATCGATGTCAGCCAATAAAAAACCCATATCGGTCCATCTCTATTGTTTGTAAAAGCTGCTAACCCTGTAGTTTAGGCCTCTGCAAAAATGTTCAGAAATGGCCCTGTGTGTCAGATGCCCTCCCTGTGTGTCAGATGCCCTCCCTGTGTGTCAGATGCCCTCCCTGTGTGTCAGATGCCCTCCCTGTATCCTCTAAACATGGATTAGTTGAATGTTCTAATATTGTTTCCTTATTGTCTTATTGAATTCCGTTCTGTCAGCTATTGTTGTTGGCCTTATTTAAGCTGCTTCACTCAGCAGACACGTTGAGTTCATTTCTGTGTTGTAACTGTGGCCTGTTATGTCCTCAGGTGTTTGATGGGCAGCAGGAACGACCAATGACAGAGGGTCAGAGCGATGAGGGGCGGGCCCAGGGTGAAATGGTCCAATCAGAGAAGATGATGACGGAGGCAGAACCAGAGGAGTTTGACCTGGACATCAGCAAAGAGGTCGGAGGCTGAAGTTTGGAGATGTTTGACTCTCTAAAGCAGGACTGAACTAGGACTAAACTAGGACTAAAGCAGGACTGAAGCAGGACTAAACAAAGACTGAACTAGGACTAAAACAGGACTAAAACAGGATCCTAAGTTTGAAGACTTCTTTCAAAAACTGTGACTCTCCCTTCCAGTTAAATCCTTAGGTTTCAGAGTAGTGGTGATGTTGTCATGGCAGTTAACAATTCAGCTTCTTCTGAATGGCACCTAAAATGGCATCTATAAATAAGAAGCTGAAACTCCTGCTTTCCATCTTAAATGATAAGATCATATTTTAATGTGAACAAGCTAAGAGGGTTCACTGGGGTTGTAACCGGTTTCATTTTGGTCCACAGCTCTCGAGACCCGAGAAAGTCCAGATACCAGAGAGACTGGACCCAGATCCAGAGGAGGTCCTGAGTCCAGATGAGCAAAAGCAGAGACAAGAGAGAGCAGAACGTATAAGGAACATGCTCACCAAGTCCAGGTAAAACGAAGACTGAACTAGGACTAAACTAGGATTAAACCAGTACTAAATCAAGACTAAAACAGGTCTAATCCAAGCCTAAACCGGAGGAGGAGAGGATGTATTACATTGTATATTTCTCTCAGCTTTCAGGTCTTCGTGGACTTTTCTGAACTGGATACGGTTTTGCAGCAACAGCAAAAAATCATGAAACAGGCGTCAATAAAAGGAAGACTCCTGAGGACCGGTGAGGAACCAGGGCCAAACCAAGACTGGACAAGGCCTAAAGCAGGACTAAACCAGAACTAAACTAGAATTGAAACAGGAAAAACTGTAATAAGTTATCACATGGAGCTAAATGAACCACTAAATCTTTGGATAATTTTCACTCACACTCCTTCCTCATCTTCAGTTTTTTTTAGACTATAGATAGTATACTTTATTATCCTGAAGGAAGTTATAATACTATTACTGGATTTTCATTACAACCATGATGAAAATATTCTCATATTTACTTTAATTTTCTTTTAGGGAAAGCAGCTGCTGAGGACGACTGAACCGTTCCAGGATTCACCAAAAGAATTTAAGACTGAAAATATGTGTTTAATAAAGATTTATTTAGTTGATGAACACTTAATAAAAGTCTGATTTTAATAATAATTTATACTTTTATGCTCTGTTTTGGGACTGACCGAGCTAAAGTCTAACACTGTCACTGTGTTTTTGTTCACTCACAGTTTAATATAAATAAAACTCATGAAATCATCTGCAGAGCCTCATTTACATTTCAGTTTGATTTGAATCGGACCATCCCTATTTGTACCATACAGACACAGAACAGTTTTTATTTCCTAGGACTTTATTTAAAAAAACAAAAAACCCTCTACAACCTGCAAACATGAGCCCAGTCTGTGACAGATTTATTTAAAACCTGGAGTATTTATTTATAGTTTAATAGTGACATGATGTTTCAGTCACTTTTGTCTCCCCCCTGTAGATAGTTCCATGTCGACACGTTTAACACTTTTTTCCTGAAAGTACAAATATAACAGTGACTTTACGTGGATTTCACAAAGTTCATTTTGAAGGCTTTGCGCTGGTCTGATCTCGTCTGGGACTCGGACTCAGGTCTGGACTCTGGTTTTGTTTCAGGTCTGGTCTCCGGACTGGACTTGGGTCTAGCGTCTGATTCAGGTTCTGAGTCCGGTTTTTGGGAGTCCTGGTCTCTGGGCGTCTCAGGGGGTTTTGTGGATTCGGCCTCTGAAGGAGCAGGAGGTTCAGGCTGGAGACAGAGACACAAAGTCAGAGATATAAATATAACAACACCCCATAACTTGTACAAAAAAGTGGCTTAAGGGAGTGTGAGGCCACCCATAGTGTTTGACTCCAAATGAAGCTCATCGAAGCTAGTTGTTTTAGCGGCTGAGTTGGAACCCAGTTCCATATTTGGAATTCCGACAGTGAGTGTCATAACAATCAAATAGCCTGGCTTGGCAGAGGGCGGACACTTAGCAATACTGTCAGTCAAATCTGTTGCTAACGCTAGTGGGAGCAACCTCTGGGAAATAAGACCCTGATTGGCCAGTTATTAATGTTCATATTTTGATTTAGGCACAAAATAGTGAAATAAACACTCCAGGATCACATAGAGCGGGTTAAAACAAACATGTTAAGACCAAAATGATGAATCTGACAGCAGCAGTTACAGAGAGAGGGACCACACTTTTTAATAGAAAGTGAATTGGGTCAATAGGTGAATGCTCACTTCCTTCCATTTATATTTACACAGTTTATGATCTACCCTCTCCAGATCTGGTCAGGAGTACCTGGTTGGAGTATTACCTCGCTGAATCCGAGGCCGCAATGGCGTCGGTTTCGTCCGGACAGTTTTCCGTCAAGTCCTTGTTGAAACTGGTCCTCTAGCTCTCGGTTCATGCGTTTGTCTTCCTGACCTGAAGTAAAGAGCCTGGGTCAGATTTACAGTGATAATAAACACACGGACTGTCCCCTTTCAAAT